CATGTTTTCTTTCATTCAGAATTACTACGAAAACACACAACCAGTGATTGAGCTGGTTTACATAATTTAGGTAAAGTTTAAATAAAAACATATTCAAATATGATACAAATAATAAGTTATGTTATATGCTTTTATGTATTTCACTTTCCATGGGTTGCGAATAATTTAATAAATGTACAAAAATTGTATTACAACATGAGTGTCTGGACCAAATATATTTCGATTATTTGACACAAACATACTATATTAGTGGCATACTGTTTTCTGTTTATAAATCTGAATAAAATGCTAGAATAGTTTAAAGATAACCAGTTCTATTAAATACGTTTTTATACTAGTCAATTTAAATATATGATAATAAAGTTACTAACATTTAATATAACTTTTTAATTTTAAAATATCAATAAAATGTCATTCTTAATACTAAAAATAATTTTATTGCATGCCACCTGATAAAAACAATAGTACTCCTGATTCTAAGCAAACTAAATTTTATTTAACTAGTATTCAAAACATAAATTAGAGAAAGTATCCAATACATGGTCAATTCACTATTCAGTTAAAACTTGTCAGTTTTAAATTGTTGTTGAAAATGTTCTAAAATAATAATTAACTTTTCTTGTATCTTACCCATTTATGGACTAGATAGCTTGAGAATTGGTGGAATACGTCATAGAAGTACAAATTAGAGCATAAGGATAGTGATTTTTTTAATGAAATTAGGAAGCTAAATAACTAAACCCCTTGATTTGACTAAATAGAATTTTTTTTTTTTGTAGTGTTTAGCCTCGTTTTTATCGGGCTCATACAAGTTTCTGTCTAAACGTAGGGGTGTTAGGCTATAATGTATAGCACTGTTGGATAGTTACTTTATGTTTCACTATAAAGGATCATTTAAATTAAGTGTTTAGTCTAGTTTTGGTGCCCATTATTTAGGTACGAACTGTTGGTCAAGGGATGCAATGACTACTTAAAGTTTAAATTTATAGAGTAAATTTAGTGAGTAACACGTTGTGAAGCTTTCAGACCAACCTATATAGTGGCCTCTACAGTATGGAAACTTGGAGGGTACATTTAACCTTGATTATTTTTATACCCATAAAAAAAGGTAGTTAACAGTTAAGTTTCATTTCCAATTGAGAAAATCTCTATTCCTTGTAAAAAAGTGGTGGTTATTTTTGCAATAGTGTACATGCACATACAAGTATTATACACTAATTAGAACCCATATACAATTTGTCTAATTAAAAAAAAAACTGTTCTTAGTTTTTTTACCAAACCGTTAAACTAAACGAACTGGAACCAAATATAATACTATTCGACTGCTACCCTTTTAAATTTTACATCGGTCACGTTGTTTTTATATTTTCTAAAACATACCCTAGTAATATTACCATCAATTAAAGATTCAGTTTTAGTTGGATGGACCTATTTTTTCATAAAATCATATAGTATTTGTATTTATATATTTAGTTTAAATATAGGACAATCTTGGTAAAAAAGGTGTTCCTATAAAGTACTGTAAAGTAATAAAAAGCTGGCAAAGTGTTTGACAAACAACCTGCATAACAGTGTTAGGTTTTGACACATGTCATGTACCAGTAAATACAATTGAACCTTATAATTTGTAATATGACATTTGTGAAGGACTATAATCATTTCATTAGCTTTAGACAATTCATTGAACCTTTGGAATATGTTTCATTACTTTCTTTCCTTAAACATAGTATTTTTAGAAAGTATTGTTTCGTCTAAGTTTAAGAATTTGAGTTTTGAGTATTTGTTCATATTATTTCAAGATATTATTATGTAAATTTTTTATATTTATTATAATGTTAATTTTCTTATAAAACCCATAAAATAATAGATTTAATAAAATCAGCTCGAACGATATTGATTTAAATTTAGATTATTATGGTCCTTTCAACTTAAAAAAATTACAACCTTCAATGATTTAAAAATTAAAGCTCAATGACTATTAAAACTTTTGACATTTTCCATTAATATCATAGTTACTCCCACCGCTCGCCCATGATAAGGGTTGTTGACAAGCTAATTGCATAAAAAGTGCATGTCAGATTGCACATTAAATTATGAGTGTTGATTTGGTTAGTTGCATTCTTCCTTGTCAGGGAAATTAAATTTTCAGATATTCCTAATCATTTACTCTTAGTAATTCCGTTACACTTCAGGCAATAACGAAGTCTTCTTCGAGGTTTTTTTATTCTTTTTAATATTACAACCTTTTCAAAAAGTGTAAGCTCCTAGTGCTTGTAGGATTTAATTGAAAGCCCCATGATTCATATTGATGTGTCTGAGGTGTGATTTGTCTTAGTCCTTGTAAATTGAAGCAATATTTCCATACCTCAATTTCAGTCCCGTCTAAGTACAAGTGCTTCATTCAATGTAAATGGTTTGTTGGGAGTTATTTCTGAATCTTATTGACTGAGAGAGGAGTTTAACACAGCAGTGTACAAATAATGTACGAGTAATTTAATATATAGACTATTTGCTTTGTAATTGTATTGTTTATGTGGAAAATGTTGCGTCTTAAAAACAAATGTTATTTTTACTATGTGTGACAATTGTATTGAAATTGAAAAGGGTAAACACTTCCCTAAGTATATTAAAAACTTCTATTCCGTTACCATTTTAAATCACATTTTTAGCCAATGTTTACAAAAGATGAGTTAAGATTTATTGCAAAATGGAAACCCATAATATTATATCATATCTGACAATTTGTTTTGTGATGAATATTATATTGGGGGTTTATTTTTCGCCTTTAGTTGTCAAATAAATTTATTTTCCGTATATGGCATAGTGACCAAGTAATGCACCATGCAAAATTATGTTACGTTGCACATTTTATATTTTCTAAATACGTAAGAACTGGTTGGAAAACAATGTGTTTTTTTAACTTGCTCGGGGAGCGTTATTCCTAATAAATATTTAATTAAAATTAAATGTTGATTCAAAAGCTAGCTGTTACCTTACAAGATAACAATATTAAAATACCGGTTCCGATGTAGGCCCTACTGTTCTATCACTAATATCAAAATGAGAAACGAATAAAACACTTCTTTTCGTATTCAAGAACTAAATCATATTCATTGCCAACTAAAGTAACAACCTAAAGATGAAATAAAGTTCCATAAAAATAATACGAAGGCCTGTACGTATTTTTACTCTAAAAAAAATACACATGCGTTTACCGATTTACCCTTCTGAAAAAAACCGTCGTAATTATTTAATCGCTGTAATGTTACTTCCTATGCATACTAATTAAAAAAAGGTTCAGAAACATCTATATTCCTGCACATTTTTCATCAATGAAATTTAGTTACCCTATACAAATGCAAAAGTAAAAAGTAACTAATTATTAAAATTTAATTATTTTCTCCACTCTAATACTTGAGTTAAAATTGCAATTTCCCTTCTCCTATGGACCAAACCCACCATTAGTATTCAGTCGGCTCACAACGTACAGTCAACATTTCTTGATACAAAGTCAATAACCACCACCTGTCATACATTATTCACGAATGTTGAAATATTGAAAACACTTCTGTCATAAACTATCGTCGATTCATGTGGCTTACACATAGTATCACTTTTCTCTAATACTTGTTAATAATCGTAAAAAAATCATCAACTGCGTAGTAATACAACTTATGTTTTTTTTTCTTTTATTGTGCCTACGCCAGTGGATTTTTTGTTATAATTGTGTTAATTCAAATTCTTTAAGGGGAAAGCAATCCAACCCCGTTAAGGGTTTGTAGATGTGTCGGGAATTGAACCCGTCCCTCCTACACCGAAATCCGAGTCGCAGACCAATAGGCTAGCATCACACAAGATGGTGTAAATTTATTGTGTTAAAAATAATATCATGGCACAAAGTTTTATTCAATAAAACAATTTAATTTTCCGTAGAAGTAGGCTATATTGCGTATAAATACAATAAAAAATGAGTCTTCGTGGAATAAAATCAAAGACTGAAAGAAACCAGTTTTTTCTTGATTGGTGTACCGGCATTGATTAGGCCCAAGATCAGGAAAAATTGCAATAATTCGATTGAAAACACGTGGAACCTAAACACAAACTAAATTTTCACCTAGCCCCGTATCATCCTACTTGGTGGACTATGAAATCACATTATTGTTTTACTCAAAGAATCTTGAAGCGTCGAAACCATTGGTGGGTAATAATCGGTCTGGTTCATAGTGTGGTTACATGTATTCAAGTTTCATTAATCGGGAAATTTGTTTGAAAATTATTATAACAATAAACACCCGTTGGTAATCTGGCAGCAATAAGTACCCAAAATATTAAATAATTGTTTAATTTTATATATTGTTTATTTTATCAACATTTGTTACATTACTAAGAAATATTTATAGTTAAGAATTAAATGTAGACTTTTATTTTACTTTTTCATGGAAAGAAAAACAATTTGATATACTGTAGCTATTTACAAAAATCCAATTTCATTTATTATAAAAAAAAATCTTTTTCATGAAAAAAAACTACAGTTATAAAATGTTTAAAATAACAATATGTTGAAGGTATTTACTTTATAAATTTTATCAACTTAAGATCCACATAGAATACTTTCAAAATCTCTGTAATTTAGACATGAACATCTAAATGGCGTGATCATATGTTAGGTAAAAACTCAAACCGTGGAGTTAAAAAACGTACATTATAAAATTCTGCAATATATATATTTTCTCACAAAAATATAATAAATATTTTGTAAAAAAATATCGGAATTACTTAACTTAACTCTACCCATCTAAAACATTACCTAGACATTGTTTGAAACTTACAACACAAACAAGAGCTGTAACCACAACTATAGGAAGTTAGAGTCCCTATCGTAGTAACCCACTGTTGTCCGGTGGGTGGGCCATGCGCCTCGGCTATACCACAGCAGTAGCGCCGCTCGACAGTCGGTAGCGGGCGTTTGCCGTAGCGTTGCGACGCAAGTATAACGTTCCTAAGCGGCGACGCGAGTGGCTATACGATATTTTATCGTGTGCTCACAGAATCTGGATTCCGATTACCTCAGAAGTTACTTGAAAATTCGTTGTGCTTCAAGTGTTTCGTTTGTTTACTCTGGCAACGTTTTGGACTTGTGTGAGTATAATATGTTTTGTTGGTGTTTTGTATAATTTGTATGATTAAAACTTTTATTCATATAAATTATATTTAGGTTACTAAATTTAAATTTTGAAAAGCAAAGATGACCATAGGTTTTACGTATGGGTCAAATGATCAAACGATTTAGATTGCTCAGTAGATTTAATGTTTCGTTGAGAAGACAAACTGTTCAATGCTTGTGCCTCGTCAAGAATACAATTAACAGAAATAGTTCAAGGGCCTAGGTTAGAAAATTATCATCTACAAAGAATTGTTTCTGTCAACAGTTAAAAGTGTACCCGATATTATAGAACAGAGGAAATTGAGATAAATTAAACAAAAAAAGCTAAGTCTTAATTTAAGATAATGTTAAAAGACATAAATTATAAATTTAATTTTAAATGTAGAAAGCGAAATTTGACTATACAAGTCAGATGAAGGTTTTTATACTAGGATTAAGTGAAAGTTTAGTAGCTACTTTTCATGTCTAACAGCTCAGACTTGTTTAAATTCTACACAACACACATATTTAGTAGGATTTAAAATAACTCTGTTCAAAGATATATACCACAAAGGGGCCTTGCACTCAGTACGCATTTTAAATTGTGTTCAAAGCTTATCTCCAAGGCAAAATTAATAATGCAATGGCATTTTTTCAAAGATCATAGAGTGAATGAAATGCCTAATTTACAATTAATTAATTTTTTTCATTGTGTATCTAAACTGCAAAGAGTGATTTACCTAACTTAATGGGGTTACAGTTATTAATAATAATCACTATTTAAACGTAAACGTCCTATTATGTTTTGTGTTATATTTACATTTTGACTCTAACACATTCAACTGAACGTTTGGTTGTAAATTAACAATTTACTTTTAAACCTTTATGAAGTACCTAAGACAATATTACTAAATCTTTGTAAGCAAATTCTAGAAATAGGCCTACATCAAACGCAAAAGGGGCAAAGCCCTAAATGAAACCCCTTTTTATTTAGCATTCATCCCTTCCTCAGGTGATAAGCTCTCAAATGATACCGCAATTTACAACCTCAGATAGTGTTTAAGTTTAAAAAAGATTTAACAGAGAAACATTTATTGTATTAAATATAAATGGATAGAAGGTTATAATATTGCAAAAATAAATTTTTTTACCTAGTTATAAAAAAAAGTTAACATTAGATTGGTCCAGTAAATAATTAGTACTACCTAGGACAGGGTATGTGTTATGTGTACTGAATCCATGCATAAATTATTTAATTAGTATTCTAAACAATATTAATTGCACATTCCTTCTTTCAGACAATTTTAATTAAGATACAGTACATCAATAATATAAAATGAACCACACGGTTTTCAATAAATTATTTTACAGTTATGCGAGTATTTAACTCTTATTAATCAAGAATGATCATAATTTTGTTATATTTTTGCAAACGATTCCATGGGTAATATTTATTGCATTTTATTAATGACTCTTACAGTATAGATAACGTGTGAGATAGATAACGACGATGGTTTAACATTTTCTTTAGCAACTATAGCAAAATTAACAGTCACTCCAATTTAAAAAAATAAATATATAGACGACTAATATTTTTATGCTCTTGAAAATACTGTCAGTTTACTTCAGTTGTCAGTTTATTAGAAACTTTAACAGTTTGATATCAATTTACCTTTCTCGTAATTTCTACATTCCATATTGCGGGTATTGACTAAATTAGTAAAGAAAACCTCAAAAACGTAAAGAATACATTTTAAAATTTTACATCTTATTTATCACATATTTTTTATTAATCCTTAAATTTTTCTCGCAATTTATTTTGTCACTTGACATCAGGGCAATCTGGGTCAAACTGGGTGCTTTCTTTGAAGTCCTATTTCACTGACGTATACGTTGGTGACATAAAGGCTATCGTCTTTCAATTATAGTTTGCAGGTAAAGTTTCTCATTCGACGAATGTGTATAAGTTTTCTCTTTAGGTGTAATGTAGGTCAGTCAAGTTTTATTCTCAACATCGGATCAATATATTCGGCCAAATTAAACTTGTTATACAATTCACATTGCCATCAACCAAATTTAGATCTGAAGACACTGTAAAAAGTGCTAAACCCTTAAGATTATATATTGTGAATACTTTCCTGATGATGAGTTTGTTTCTAAATACTAACTTTAAATATAAGTGGTCATAATGTTCACATAGAAATTGAACAGCCTTTATGCCTTTAGGTTTACAAAATGAAACATTTATTGAAACAACGATTGAAACATATTTAACTAAATGTCCTCTTAGATATCTATCTATATTTTGTAAAGAACCATAACTTTAGATACAAGCAGACAAAAACTTGTATGATAAAAACTATGAGTACACATTTATGTGCTTTTTCGTCTAGCTACGGGAGTGTCATAGGCATTTTTAAAGTTTTTTTTTCAAGGTCAAAACAACGAATATCCTACCATCTAGAGTCATCCTTTTATTGGACATCATTATTACTTGATAACTAATAACAAAAGGCATTTGCGTCAAGTAACAATCTCGCTTGGAATTTAACTAGTAACATTGATATTTTTGTGCTCTCTACCTTATCCGCTACCCAGACGATTACTAAGATTAAGCAAAAGGCTTGGTGCATATACATTTTTCTTGAACAAATAGACTACTGATATGTGCGTAGAACCTATTCAACAAAGTAAGGGGTGAACTGGGATAGTAAATGGGTGAATACTGATAAAAAGTAGCAGCAGTGACCAGAACCAGACCATCGACATCGCTGCCTAGGGTCCGAAGTCTTCAACGCTACTGACTGAGCCACCGACTTATTTACTTAACCTTTCTAAATTAAGAATATACAACACACTAAGACAATATATTTAAAGTAACTTACGTTAAAGTTTAACATTAAGTTTGTTTAAGAAATAACGTTTTATAATGTGTATTACGGTCATGTTGTTAAGTTTTTTTGAAAATTTGAAAGTTTTTAAAGCTAAAATTAGAGTTTTTGTATTTTAGGGTAGACTTCTATATCAGTTGGCACAAACAACCGAATAAAAATATCGATTATTCGATTGTTTCATTCAATATATCGTTTGGTTGGTTGCGTTAACCTTACTTAACTAACCAAACGATATATCGAATCATCGATATATTAATCGATATTTTCATTCGGTTGTTTGTGCCAACATATACGGAAGTCTACTCGTATTTTTAATACAGATAGTTTCCAACACTACTTGTTTGTTAGATTCAATGAGTCATTAGTGTGATAATAAACTATAATGATTTTTACTGTCATATTTTACTCTTGTATAAATTCTTCGTGTAAAGTTACAACGTTTCTATTTAATACACCTTCAACAAGAGTTTGTACATACCTATTTGATATTGCGTTTCGTCTTGGTATCAGGCTGTGTTCAAAGTTGGTTTGCTGACATAGTTCTAACTGGAAACTATGCGATCTGTTCAGATCCGGAACGGTATGCGACAGTTAAACTTGGCAAAGTATGTGATATATCTCGGTAAATGTAGGTCTACTCGGTATATCGTTCTATTTGTTGGCAAACTACGTAGAATTTTAGTTGATTGGAACAATATAGTACGTTGAGAATCTCATAATAAGATTTTTAAGGTTAAGAACGATGTTAATGATTTTACAAAAGAAATTACTTATAGATAGTTGCCTTTACTATTAAAATGGTGCAAGATTGCCTGTTTCCGTCAGTGATCCTATTTTTTTTTATTGAGCAACCGGTTTCAAGGTTATAACCTCATCATCAGGTTGTTGTTGTCACTCTTGCGAGATCGTCGAGTTTTATAAATACACAAAAACAATAACTTTTATATAAATAAACACGAGACATTGACAGACGTAGACTATTAACATAAATTCGGGAACTATTTCTACTCACAATCCGACAAATGTAGGATCACAGACGGAAACAGGTAATCTTATACCATTTTAATATTAAAGAAGTGGTCCTGGTTCAAAGAAAATCAATATGAAGTTGTCTTTACGATTATTTTTAATCAATCATATCAGCTTTTACGGTTGCAAGAACAATGATTATTTTTGAGGTATTAACTATTTTATGAGGTACCTAACTTAATGTGTATGCACTTTAGACGCGAAGCCTTCCTAGTGGCAAACTACAAAACTGGATGAAAAAAGGGATTTGATTAATTGTATTCTTAACAAATGAATCGTACAAATTATAACCAATATGAATAAGAATATTGAATCTAGTACATTATTATTAGTTGGATAGTTTTTTTTTGTACATTATAATCTATTTCGAAAAATTAGTAAATCTAAATTAATTTACCTGCAGATTTCAATGATAAATAAGTCACCTATGCTTTCTGCAACAATACTTTGAACTACTAAAAATAGCATAAGAAGAATGATTCTGTTTGGATGACACAAATTTATTGTTATAGTTATATATGAATTTTATATTTGCAGTTTGATCACTAATAAATTTTTTACTTTAAAAACGGAACTACCATTCATGCTGGTACCCATATCAAAACAACAAACGGGTGAAACAGAATTGGGCCAATTGTATGCCAAACAGATAAAATAGGGAGAAAAGATATATCTGATTCCAGGAACAGCGATGAAATATCGATGATATGAATATCGTTTTCACATGACATAGAACCCCGGTCACACAATATGACAGGGCCTTGCTTTGAAAACGTATAGGATGACATTGTGATTTAAAGGGCTGTTAAGTAAAAATGGAAAAATATCTAAAAAGTAGCATTATATTTTATATTCGAAACAGATTTTTTAAGTATTGGAATTAAAATTAAGGTTAGTAAATTTTTGTTTGAGATATTAATTTTTGTATGCAAATGTTGTCCATACAATTAAATATTGTCTTATAATTTGTTATTTCACTCCTTTAATTTAAGTAAAAAATAAATTTTTAGTAAAATGTATGTATCACAATATAGGGGGAATAAATAGCAATGGTCTGATAAGTACCTGACTTT